CAGTACTGAATATATTGTCAAAGGGTTCATTTGCACTTTAAGCGTTCCGTTCAGGGCGCTAATTAGGAAGGGCGGTGGTCATTGTTTTGTTCAACGTGTGATGCAGAGGGGCACTGGAAACTAGTGTCATCTTTACTTTCCGCTCCACTATTCTAGTTTCATTCGGAAGCTACCATAGGAATGTCTTTTTAGTGATGAAATATGTGTAATGTCAACCAGGGAAGATATAACGAAAACTGACACAGTTCATTGTAGAAGTTCTATGCCTCGATAAATACACGAAGAATTGAGCTTTTGCAATTACCAAATCCTGTAGGCAATACCACTAGTATATCTTTCTGTCTAAAAACGATTCCATATCATTTTTGCAGTCTTCCTACAATACGATGCCAACAAGTTTCTCCTTACAAACGTATCGAAAGTCATGGTATAAGCTACGTTATCACGTCCGTGATGTTATCACTAACGATCTTTGGCAAGAGAGAAAGCGAACAAGACTTCGCATAAAACAATAGAAGTATTTGATTTACAGGCTCTTAACCTATGGGAATTTTTTTACGTTCACGATATGAACGTGAAATACGAGGAATGTGGATTTTCATAGCAGGCGCTCCCTTTTCTTCCCTCCTCCCAATTCCCTCCCCAAAGCTCCGCTGCGCCGCTCGCTGCAAACAGAATATTAAATAGAGCAAGAAAGACTAGTTCATAGTTATCAGAGAAAAATTAATGCGAGTCAGTACAAGAACAAACGAGCTCTTTCTCCACCAATACCACCAAAAAGCAAAGGAGAAGCAAAGTTTGTTACGCTACTGAAATTAGATATCGTGATAAGGTAATGAATAGAATTTCATAATTGGGGTGCTGAGTAGGAAAAAGCACGACCACCATATGTCTTGCATTTGATGGATGGATGCATAAGAAGTAGCGAGCTGACGATCGTAGTGTTCCAGGTAGGAAAAGGCACGACCACCATATGTCTTGGATTTGATGGCTGGGATGCATAAGACCTAGCGAGCTGACGATCGTAGTGTTAGTGGTGGATGGTATTCCTGTATGATGGATTCCAGGTATCCAGCAGATTGTCCATTCAAGATCTTATATGTAATAAGGAGAATCTTAAAGTTAATCCTTGCCTCAACTGGTGGCCAATGCAAGTCTTAAGCATAGGTGTTATATGGTCATAACTACGCGATCCTGTTATCATTCGAGCTGCAATATTCTGAATTCTTTGTAATTTGTCCCTTTGATACTTTGCTATTCCATGTAAAAGACCATTACAGTAGTCAAGTCTAGAAATCACGAGGGAATTTACTAACATCTTCAGTCCATTGTATGGAAGGTATTGCCGGATGCGTCCAATAAATCTTATTCGTGGTGTGACAATGTTTTCCCAATTCAGCGTGACAAACCTCTGGGGGAATGAAGAGCTATTGTTTTGAAACTCGTCGGGATATCATCGTTATTCCTTTCGTATCCTTTGGGATACTCAGGAATTTTCGGAAGAGTAAAAACAAAAGAAAATGAATCCCCTGGAGGTTTGTCACGCTGAATTGGGAAAACATTGTCACACCACGAATAAGGTCTATTGATCTTATGGCAAAACTGGCTAACTCACATGTTTTGTTGATATGATGATTGAAAGAAAAGGTTTATCCATGATAACGCCCAAATTCTTGGCTGTTCACAGTCACATCTACTGTAGTATTTGCTAATGATAAAGGCTTGTAAGTTGATGGTTGCTTTTTGAAACGTGAGCTGAAATGCAATACTTCATTTTTTCTTGGTTTACTTTTTAACATGTTCTTTGTGTTCCATGCGAATACACCTTCATCACGTTTGAAGAACGTTAAGTAAAGCATCAGACTATTCTGGATCTCTTATAACAATATAGATTTTGGTGTCGTCGGCGTAAAACATACACCAAAGATCATGAGTTCGTACTAACATCTCGAAGAGGTGCAATGTAAAGAGTAAACAATAATGGGCCAAGTATTGAACCGTGAGGAACGCCAAACTATATAAAATCACCTACAGTTAATCTTTGAGATCGGTCAAGTAAGTACGAGGAAAACATTGAAGAACTGTTTCTGTGAAGTTGAGTTTTGCCGTCCGGCAGAGGCCTTGAACCCATGTTCACCAAATAACAGTCCGGTGGCCAACCAATGATCCAACCGAGAGGCGGTATCATCAATATCCCACTTGTATCAGCTTTAGTATCAGTTTTATTTTCATACAAAAAAAATTGACTAGGCCACCCTATTAAAATTAAGGTATCTGTCTATACCAGTACAAAAGCTTCACACATCTAGGAATATCTGGATACGGGAAATATGAGGAAAAAGCCATAGGGATATGGAATATGAAAAGGAATTACTGATAAAAATATATATTACGGTTTTCTTATACGATAGACTGAATAAGACTTACTTTATGAGGGAAATGACCTAAAAGTCTTTAAATGGCTCTAACTGTTTGCTGTGAAGGGGTGGGGCAGATTTCCAGTCCTCCTCGGGGTATTCATCAAAATTCCTGGTGTCACCGGAATGTGCAATCTTCGGTACAATAGGAGGCTGAAACAAAGATTTCCATATTAAACTAGACGTTTCTTACAAATAGTGAAGTGCTGCGAATCGTATCAGACAGACGGTTTGTTTCCTATATGGTGCTGTAAGTCAAGAACTGAAATCAAACGTAAATATCAAGAGAACTAAACTAAAGATATTCCTTGGTGATATTGTTTGTAAAACGGTGGTTTATTCATCTTTTAAGGCGCCAAGTTTGTACGTGTAATTTTTATAAAACTTCTTGCCGTGCTGAAGTCAAGTTTCACTAACGTCTGGTGGCCTCACACACCTCTGTTGGCCCGTGTGCCAGTTTCTTCGCTGCAATACGAGTTGTGACCACGAAACTTAGGAGAGTTGTAGTCACGTGCTTGGTCTGTCACCCCAACAATCTTAGTGGTATGACGCCATATATCACGTGACTTACTAAGATAATTTGAAAAAATATTAAAGTTTTTGTTTTTGTTTTAATAACTTTTTCTTAAAATACCTAGCCTTCTGGGCCTTACAGAGTATATATATATCAATCAATCAATCAATCAATCAATCCATATATATATATAGAGAGAGTATATATATATATACTCTTTAAGGCCCAGCAGGTTAGTTTTTTGTTATTTTGTTAATAAGAACCCGACCAGAAGAGACTCACTCGTGCATAAATTAATGTCAATGACTAAATTTGCTATCATTACCTTCAATTTTCTCTGATAAACTAGATTCCAATCAATCACTTTAAACCATTTATGTCCTTTAACATCTTCTGCTCCATTCTGAAAACAAATAAAGGGATAATGAATGAAAATATGCAAAAAAAACCCATGTTTCGTAAATTGATATGACTTGGTATTTGAGGAAAGGCCATTCTAGCAGCTGAGCTCAATGGCTCGATGGCCCCTGGGCTGACTTATTTTCCAGTCTTATTTTAGACTCTATAATGATAATAATAATAATTTTTTATTTTGAAAGAATAAAAAATTACGAATTACAAAAAGTTTAGCCTACACTATTACATAAATACATTATAATAATAAAACTAGAAAAAGAAGGAGGGGAAAAACGTTTGATTATGCTATATATAGCTTCACGTACATCCTTACAAAATCCCGTTTTTCCTTCATATAAACACTGCATTTTTTTTGCACCTTGAATTCGTTTGGCCTGCTTCAGGGGTAAACAAGCCGGACGAGTTTCATCGACAAATGGAGGAATGTTACCTATAAAATCTCTCATTTTACGTCCTATCCTTGGCCACTTAAATATACAAGATCGCTCTGCCTGGATCACTACTCGCGATCGGGTTCGAAGTATAGGTAGCAAGGCGCTAACATCACTAATCTTTCCACTACTCTTCGTATTCCCTTCAGACCACAAGTTGGTAAGTCTTCCAAATCATGCCTTTTCAATTCCAGAACAATATGCAACAAAGGCTTTGATAATAAATGATTTTGTTGTTGAAAATGATATTGAAATGTTATACTTAACTGAAACTTGGTTAAAATTACATTATCAATATTTTTAAACATGTTGCTAGGAAATATAGTGGAGGCGGTGTTGGTTTTTTTATATAAAAAGTCCTCAAGACCAGGAAATATTTCTTTCAATAAGTTTAAATCTTTTGAAGCCATGGGGCAGTCATGTTCCCTCTTCTTCTGCGTAATTTTTTAGTTTTTTGTCATTTAAACCTCCTCCTTCAAATAGTAAAAATCTTACTAATAAAATTTTTTTTGAGGAGTTTTCTATTTTTCTAAAAAGAAATTAACACTCAGGACTCACTTCTCTTGATTTGGGATTTTTTGCCACCGCTCTTCGATTTCGAAATCTTTTTCCGTTGATCTTATTATAACCAGGACTAGCATAAGCACATGCTGGTTCTTACATACCTTCATACTACCTAATCTTCTTGTTCTATCATGAACTAAAAGTCTCTTTATTAAATCTCTGCAAGATAAAGTAATAATAATAATAATAATAATAATAATAATAATTTGGAATAATAGTTTGAGTAATAATAATAGTTAATAATAATAATAATAATAATAACTAATAATAGTTTGAAGGCCTATATGGGAAACAGAAAAGGAGACCAACCTAGAAGCTGAATGGATACATACAGTAACGGAAGCAATGACATCCACAATGACAACACCAGTAGAGGACACAGTGAACATCGAAGAAAAAGACATCCACTCAAGCTTACGAAAGAAAAAGAATTGGAGTTCACCTGGTAA